GGACTTACATGATATGACTACAGCCTATTTTGTTTGAACTGAACTGACATGACCACAGCCTATTCTATTCGAACTTAATTTACATGACTACAGCCTCCCCCCCCCCCCACCTTCCCTCCCTCTCTTCTCCCTTCCCTCTACCACGAACCACCTCCCCTTCCCACTCCCACCTCTCTTCCCTTCCCCCTCTCCCTCCCTCTACCCCCTACCACCTCTTCTCCCTCCCTCTACCCCCTACCACCTCTTCTCCCCCTCTGCCTCCTTCTCCCTCCTTTCCCCTTCCCTTCCCTCCCCCTCCCCTTGCTCTACCTCTTTTCTCCTCCCCTCCCCTCCCCTCCCTCTGCCTCCTCCTCCCTCCTTTCCCCTTCACTTCCCTCCCCCTCCCTTTCCTCTACCTCTTTTCTCCTCTCCTCTCCTCCCCTCCCCTCCCTCTCCCCTCCCACCTCCCCACCGCCAGCTCTCCCGGGGCGTGCTCACTCACCTCCGTGCCTCCGCCGTGTAACCGTACGCGGCCTGGCACGTTATTTGTTAGTGTCACGGGCAACACGGCCGCGGAAACTTCATATCGTGACACCCGAGACTGGCGGGGCATAGCTCTGGGTGAGCGCTTTGGGGGAAGGGGGGAGGGGGAAGGGGGAAGGGATAGGGGAGAAGGAAGAGGAAGAGGAAGGGGAAGGAAGAGGAGAAGGTAGGGGGAAGGAGAAGACGGAATGTGGAGGGAGGAGAACGAAGGGGAAAGCGAAGTGGAAAGGGAAAGTGATGGTGAAGGGAAAGGGGGAAGGAGAAAGGAAAGGAGGAAAGAGGAAAGGCGCGTTCAGAGGGGCAATATCATACAAGCGAAAGTATCTGACTGTGTGCATGACTTCCAACCCCTCTCCCCCCCCCCCACCCTTACTCCTTACACCGACCCAGGCAATGTAACACCTGGGCGCCCCCACCTCCCCCTCTCCCTCCCCCTCCCCCTTCCCCCCTCGTGGTACGTACCGCCCAGAATAAAGCGGGCGATATTAGAGGCCATTCGACACCGAGACGTAGAGGTAGGCCTACTTACAGCGCCAAACGGAGAGGAAGGCAAACCAGGATATCGAAAGCTGTTCTATTCTGTGTTTTTTTTTTATCAAATTGTATGTATGTATGTGTATGTGTGTATATATATGTGTGTGTGTGTGTGTGTGTGTGTGTGTGTGTGTGTGTGTGTGTGTGTGTGTGTGTGTGTGTGTGTGTGTGTGTGTGTGTGTGCGCGCGCGTGTATGTGTGCGTGTGTGTGTGCGTGTGCATGCGCGTGTGCGTGTGCATGTGCGTGTGCATGTGTATGTGCCTGTGCATGTGCATGTGCCTGTGCCTGTGCATGTGCCTCTGCATGTGCCTGTCCCTGTGCATGTGTATATGTATATGTACCTGTGCATGTACGTGTCTCTTTCTGCCTCTATGTACATACACACGGCCCGAGATACGGAACCGAAGACGCAATAGGCGGCCCATTCCCCCCCTCGAGAGAAGAGCAGATTCGACCCGAGTCTCAAATTCCGGGAAACCTTACAAGGCGGGCCATCAACCCCTTCCTACAGCCCCGTGCTTAAGGTTCGGGAATAATGACGATCCGAGAGAAGGAGAAGGAGAAGGAAGAGGAGGAGGAGGAGAAGGAGAAGGTGAAGGAGAAGGTGAAGGAGAAGGAGAAGAAGGTGAAGGAGGAGAAGAAGGTGAAGGAGGAGATGAAGAAGATAAAGAAGACAATGAAGATGGTGATGCTGGGAACAACAATAATAATAATAATAATAGTTATAATAATAATGATAATCACAACAACAACAACAGCAACAACAACGTTAATAATAATAACAATAACCATAATCCATTCTCGATTTAAGAAGAAAAAAATAAAAACTGGACCAGACGATTTTTTTTTAATAACGACAACGGTAACGAAAATAACAGGCAACAAAAATGAAGACAAATAAACATATAAATAAACAAAATAAGTAAATAAGTACAGTACATAACGTAGCATAAAGTATACTTCTTCCCGACGTTCAGGAGGAGGAGCTTTGGGAGGCAAGAGGGGGGGGGGCGGGGAGTGAATAATCAGCTTGTATAAAGCCATGTGGGGATTGGGGGGGGGGGCGAATTGGGGGCGGGGAGGGAGAAATGGGGGAGGGGGTTATCTCGTTAGTCTCCACCAATGACGTAAAATGCTAAATGCATGTGATTCCGCCATTTTCTCCCTCTCTCTCTCTCCCTCCTTCTCTCTCTCTCTCTCTCTCTCTCTCTCTCTCTCTCTCTCTCTCTCTCTCTCTCTCTCTCTCTCTCTCTCTCTCTCTCTCTCTCTCTCTCTCCCTTATTCTCTCTCTCTTATTCTCTCTCTCTCTCGCGTTTTTTCCCGCCACGACTCACTCACAACTAAATTAACAATTCAACAAACAAATAAATCAAACTCAATAGATATCAATAATAAAAAAAAAAACAATGAAAAGCAAAAAAAAAAAAAAAAAAAAACGTGAAC